TCGCTGTTCATTTATACTGCTGGAGTAAGAGCGCTCATGCAGTCGAATGAGGACATGAGGCCGCACTTTTGACACACCCACAAAATTTGGGTGTGTCAAAAGTATACAGTGTAATCATAAATGGTTGATAGACATTTTACACATGTGGAACAATTCATTCTATTTCTAAAGTGTTCCAAAGAAAATTAGGGAATTCTCTTTACATGGTGTTTAAACAGCTAAACATCTTGGTGCTTTAATTCCCCCTATATACAACTGCATTTTTCTTCAACAAACCCACTGTTATTCAGACAGGCAGACAGTACTGCGATGATCATAATCTATTAGAAAAAAATTTCATTGCATTAAGTTTGACTTCACTTGCTTTGTCAGAAACTCCAGAAGACTCAGGTGGAGGCATCAACAAAGATTACCTGACAAGCGGACCCATAACACTGCCTTATCATCTAGTCAGCAGCAAAGGAGCACCACAGGGGACAGTACTCTCACTACTACCTTTTATTCTGCAGACCTCCAACTTCCAGTACAACTTCCAACTACAGCATTAGAGCAAATCACTTAAAGAAGCTTACACGATGATAACAAAAAACAAAAAAAGCTGACTCTGCTTTGGAACTCCTGTAAAACCTCTGAGAGTGACCTCACAAAATATGATTCTTGATGAAATGAAGAACATTATGATCATCTGTGAGCTTCCTCTTCAGACGATTGTTGAACACCAACCGTCTTAATTCAAATGCTTGTCCACATCCTGTGAACCACACACCGCTTCAGACTATCCTTCTTGCCTACAGCTCTGAACATCTACCTCATCCATCTATTTTCCGTCACGCTTATCCCAAGCGGGGTCATGAGAGGTGCTGGTGCCTATCTCCAGCTATCTACGGACGAGGGGCGGGGTACACCCTGGACAGGTCAACATCTACAACATCTTATTGCAAAACAAAAAAACTGGTGAGTTTGCACATTCATTTTCCACTTTGAATTGATAAAGTTTTTTTTTTCAGTTTCTTTTACCATATTAAATTAAAGGCTCAGTTACAGTTCATCCATTGGTTAGTAGTTATAGTCAGTAGGGGGCAGTAGTATATTCTCATTCTCATTCTCATTCTCAGTCTAAAGAAGTGATCCTCTCTAGACTGCTCTTTGATAGCTTAAAATTATCCTTATACTGATACTTATCAAACTTTTGATCCAATTACCAAACTATGCTGAAATTTGGACCACTAATGTGAACATGTATAAATTACATAAGAAAAGAGGTAGCACTAAAAGTTACGGTAAATAATTACACCTAGGGTGAACAATTGAACTTTGCATCAGTGTGGCACAGCTTTTTATCTATCTAAAAAGGACTTTCTAAAATGGTCACACAATATATTCCTTCTAACTACACTTTTTTTTTAATTTTCCAAAAAAAAGCCTAAATGCATGAACCTAATTTTAGTTTTTCTACCAAAGTAATACAGTAATGAAATAAACGATCTGCCTTAGTGCTCTCTGCAGGACATATGTGTATATGTGTATAACCTGGGCAGATTTTGTTTCTACATTACAAATGAAATTAGATATTTAGCTATGCTATATAGAGAGATATAATTCAGAGATAATATGGATTAAGTGCTAGATTAATGAGACATATACTTTCTTTTATTCAGAACTTTATTTAAAATTTCTTAATATGCATGCCCAATCGCTTTTATACTTGTGTCAAAACTTTTGCATATCCTTCCACATGCTTCTTATGGTAGTTTGCAGTTATCAGGTCCCAGAAATGCTAAATCAACAGTCTAAGTTTTGTTTTCCAAAGCAGGTATTCGCAAAGTTAGGCAACAAAACAGAACATATTTTAAAAAGGTCAAAACCCTTTTCTACTAAATTTCACATTTTGTGTATTTCTTATAGTGAGGAATTAATGCTCAGCTGTGAGATTAAAGTTTTGTCTTCTTCACTATTTCTTGCTAACTGTGGGAGAGGCCATTAACACTAGGACTATTATGATGTAAAATAATTGTTTCCAGGTGTCCATCAAATAAAAAAAGCTAAACTTTCTTTTGCTGGGATTAGCAATTGTATATAGTATTTCCTTTCTCACATAACTTGTCCTACTATGTTTCAAATCTAATCTACACTAGTTTTTGATAAACAAAGCCCAATGCTAATAGAGAAAATGAGAATGTTTCTGCATATATCATGTATCTTAAATGACAGGAAATGCTTACATGACTATATAAAAGCTGTAGTATTAGTCAAAATGTTTCTTCAATGAATCATACTTCCAATGTATTAGACATGATTTAAGTGAATGTTGAGGGGTTGGCATGTGATCAAAAGGAAAAAATTATTATATCAGTGTTGCATAGCTTTTCATCCGTCTAGAAAGGACTTTGCACAATATATTCCTTCTAACTACACTTTAAGGAAAGTTTATAAGGCAGAAATAATGTCAGACATACTAAGAAAACTAAAAAAATATTTTTTCCCCCCATTTACAGTCACTCTTTGATAACATCATCAATGTTTGGCTTTCCTGTTATATTCTGAATCATATTTCTTCTGATAAACATCAGATGTTGCTCCTGATGGCGTTATGACTATGGATGTGTCACTGACCATGGAAGGAATTCGCCTTCCTAAAATACAAACCTTTGTTGCGAGTGATGCAATTACAGTGATGTTTCTGAATCAACAAAGCCAAAATGTCAGTCATTTGTTTGACCTCTTGATTGTTTAACTCATCCAGCTGTCTTTAGTGCAAAACAGTGAGATAACAGGACAGACAATGACATTATTTTAACCACTTTAAATGATAATAATAAACTCTGTTTTTATCATATTTACATATATTGGTGCAGAAGGAGACTCAACATGGCTTGTTCATTTTTCTTTTCTCTAAGTTTTCTCTTCCTCTTTTGTATGTTTTTTTAATCCCCAAATTTGGCTCTAAGCCCAAAAGAGTGACACACACCAAGAGATTGCTCTAACAGAAATGTATAAAAAATATTTTTGACAAATGACAGATTTCCTGGGGAACCCCCTACATGCAGTGTTTCTTTAAATAATTGCTCCTAGTTACAAAGAAAAAACAAAATCTATTGAGGCACAACATTTCTACAACATTTAATATTCTACAATGAAAGATTTAGTTTTATGACCTCTGTGAATGTCTTTGACCATGTTTAAATTTGTTTAATATGAGAGGCAGCTTTCACATGAAATGTGCAACCTATTAGTCTACCAATCCAATACAAAAAAATGTTTAATTAGTTCTCTGCTTTTCTATAAAGAGGTCAAGATGTTCTTAACATCAACTGAGGTGGTCTTGATCAGTATTACCCTAGGTGTTAATAACCATCTGTTTAGATGGTCATATGACTGTCACTGCTTAGTTTAAAAGATGAACAGCATCCAACCCAAATAAATAGTTGTTTGGAGCAGAGGAAAATCTATCCTGAATGAGAGAAATCCAACAATAATCTGCATCGACCTTCTTTTGATTATCTCTGCTTCAACTCAATGGAAAATGTGGAAAATGCATTTTTCCTTGCAGCATCAAATTTTGCTTGCATGTCAAAAATTGAAATCCTTATAAAATTTGATGCACACCGACTGATATTTTTGTTTCAGTTAATTTGAGTGACTATAGTTTAAAGTTCAAAAAAGAAATGTTTTTCATTTTAAAACACTCAAAAAATTTTCAGCATATTGAAAAGGTTTCAATTGGTTTTCAAATTGGGTAGTCTCTTGTTTTGGGCATCTTTTGCTGGAATAAATATCAATGGAGGATATATGAAGGGACTACACTAAAAATGTCAAAGAATCCTCCAAAACCTGGACAGTAGAATGAAGCATTCAAATCTACTGTACCACCAGAAATCGTGGATCTCCAAATTCTGAAAACGTCTCACATTGTAATGTAAAAGTTAACTTTTATTATCATTCAAAAGTTACAAATACAAAAAGCCTATCAGTGAATGTATTGGTTTTTCTTTGGGTACTCCAGCTTCCTCTCATAGAGCAAAACTGTGAATTTTTGTCTCTTAGTCCCTTTTTTGGCCAAAGTCTCAGTTACGTCAGACAGTTAGTTTGACGCAAAATAAACCAACCCGAGGTGGCCAATAAACAGCACATGGATGGCTATATGAGGAGCTTAAAATGACTGTGTGGTTGGTGGCCAGAGTAAAAACATTTTAAGATGTTATCACTTACATCCTGTTGCTGCCAAAAAAAGGATTCATCAGCTGTGGTTCAAAGAAATAAAAAAAAAGTGGACTGGACATAAACGATCATCAAACATGCCCTCGTATGCAGCACACACTTCATGCCAGGTAAGTTAAAGGTAAGTTAAGGTGAATAAGATTTGATCTTTCATTGGATTATGATTTGGTTAACTAACTATACTCACCTAGTTCCCCATTAAGAGGTAGTTTATTTTTCTTCTGTTTACAATCACCTAAGCCTGTTACATGGTCCTGGCCTTGATGCAACAAGGATTGTCCTTTGTTTTACAATAAACACCAACCTCAACCAAAGGTAATCCTATCATATCCTCTAGGGGCGGTCCTAGCCCATTATGCACACCTGCTGAACACCACCACCCATATTGCCCTGCGATATAACTGTGTGTCTTGTGTCATGGTCGTGTGCCTTTATACTGCCCTGTGGTTTACTGGCACCTCTTCAGGGTGTTCCTAGTCTTTCGCCATTGAAATAACCAACCACGACCCAGCAAGGATCACTGGCTATAGACAGAGTGATAATCAGTGATTTCATTTTCATTGTTAATATTCAAGAAATTTCTAAAACAGCAAATTTTTCTTTTACCAAAAAATGTTTGTCATTTCCCTCATTTGAAATAGTATTCCATTTTTGTTACAGTTAACAGGTGGAAGCCCCAGTGTGTGTCTCCTTCCCCTTTTTGTCTCAGAGATAAAGTTATGCCATATCCAAACACTAAAAAAGAGGAAATGATCTCTTGTGGCGTGTTGACGACACACAGACTATTTATACAAAGTGCCTGCAGCTCTTCACATCTGTTGTCCTACAGATTTCTGCCATTCATCATGGAGGAGGTCTACGTCAGGCATGTGGAGCTGCTCGGCTTCGAGAAACGCTTCTTCCCAAGTCAACATTACGTGAGTCCACAAATCCTTTAATTGTGGAAAAAAAAAAAAAATTGATCTTTAAACATTGAAATGCATTTACACTTCCAATCAATTACAGAAACCAAAGGAAATATTTGTTGATGTGTCTGATCTTTGAAAGTATCTACCGTTAAATGTTGTTTAGGTTTACAGACTGATGGTGAAATGGAGCGACGAGTCGGAGAAACTCATCTACAGGACGTATCCTGAAATCCACACTTTTCATGTTAGTCCCTCTGCAGTTTGCTGTTAAAGCTCTACCAAATGTAAAGACAGATCTAAATTTTATTCCCTTGTTTTTTCCTGCAGAAGTCTTTGAAGGAGATGTTTCCCATTGAGGCTGGACAAATAGACAGGAGGGACAGAGTAATCCCATCACTACCAGGTAAAAAAAAATGTGCATGCTCAGATTATAGATTTCACTCTGTCTCTGCCCTCACCTCTTTTTCATGGGGGATTGAATGTTAGAGGGTGTCAAAATAAGTTCACAGTTTCCGTGTAAAAACCCCATCCATATGCTGCAATCATCTTCCAGGAAGCACCTGCGATTAACAAAGACATGGGGCTGAATTCACTTCTCTTTTTTCTTGAAAGAACAACTGAAATCAACTGTAATGAGCAGCAGCCAAAGTATTTTTTAAGCACCGATGAGGACAAATATTGTGGAATGTAGCTTCAGTTCTAAGATTAAAACTTCAACTTATTAGCGTTTAAGCTGTTTAGGAATAAAGTAAATACTTGATCATAATTAGCGAGTTTTGGTGTTAGTTTGATTTTGCTTGTGGCACCAGTAGGTGTGAAGTTCTTTTCAAAACAGGCGTGAAATATACTAGTTTCACCGTCTGCAGATTCCTATTTATAACAACAGAGCAAAATCACCTTATTTAATGAAAAAAAGATTCAGAACAAACAAAAGTAATGGATTATAAGTAGCAGAAGGTAATTGAAAAAGCATAATTAAAGCTTTTACATCTAAAATGCAAGTTTCCTTTCCTTTTTCATTCGCCTTTTAAGTATCCTCCTACAGTTGAATCTCGGTCTGAAATGACTCATACTGATTTGACACAAATGTCATCTTCTCAGAAAATGGCAAGTTGTATTTACACATAATTACTGTTTTTCTTACAGTTAAATCATCAATGATTTGCTCTTTATCTGAGATGACTGGTGTGGAAGTAAGCAATGGCCACACCTATTGCTGAGACCTAACAGCTTGTAATTAGCTACAATCAAAACTTTTTTATTTTCAGAATAAAAGCCTAAATGCATAACCCTAAATTTATTTTTTCTACCAAAGTAACACAGTAATGAAATGAAGAACATGGCTTAGTGCTCTCTGCAGGGTAATGTCCTCACAATTATATATTTATATATATACCAGCATTATCTTGGCAACTACCAACCCAACCTTTTCTCACACCATTGTAGATGATGGTAAAACAAATGACCTGAGCAGATTTTGTTCCTACATTACAAATGAGATTAGATATTTAGCTATGCTATATAGAACGATATAATTCAGAAATAATTTGGATTAGTTAAGTGCCAGACTAATGAGACAAATATTATTCAGAACTTTATTTAAAATTTCTTTATATGCATGCCCAATCACCTTTATATGTGTGTCATAACTTTTGCATATCCTTCCAAATGCTTCTTATGGTAGTTTGCAGTTATCTAGCTCCCAGAAATTAGCAGATGCTCAATCAACAGTTTTGTTTTTCAAAGCAGGTATTCACAAAGTTGGGCAACAAAACAGAACCTCTTTTAAAAAGGAGAAAACCCTTTTCTACTAGATTTCACATTTTGTACATTTGTTTTAGAGAGGAATTAATGCCCTGCTGTAAGATAGTTTAAAAAATGTCATTCTTAACATTTTCCTGCTTACTGGGGGAGAGGCCATTGACACCAGGAATATTATGATGTAAAATAATTGTTTCCAGGTGTCCATCAAATAAAAAAACTAAACTTTCTTTTGCTGGGATTAGCTAGTGTATATAGGATTTATTTACTCACATAACCTGCCCTACTATGATTCAAATCTAATCTACACTAGTTTTTGATAAATAAAAAAAAAGAAAAGAAAAAAAAAGCCCAATGGTAAAAGAGAAAATTTTGTGTTTCTCCAAAAATCATATATCTTAAATTACAGGAAATTCTTATATGACTATATAAAAGCTGTTTTATTAGTCAAAATGTTTCTTCAACGAATCACACTTTCAATGTTTTAGAAATTATTTAAGTGTATGTTTAGGGGTTGGCATTGGATCGGAAGGAAAAAAAAAAATCACATTTAGATCGGTGATGAGAAAAGCCAACAATTTCTGCCTGTTTCAGCAGGTTAGAAAGCAAATTGAAAAATAAATGTTGCATGCATAAGAACTGTGCACTGTTTGAAGAACTGCACAAGAAATCATAATAATTATGATTTCTTGCTGTACAACTACTGGCAGTTGCAGTTTTACGGTACATTTTTGGATACTTCATCCTGTGTTTCATTAATCTTTGGAAAACACTAACTATTTTCTCAGCTGAATCCTAATTTAAAGAAATTATGCATGATTTAATTCAATTCCATTCGGTTTATTTATATAGCGGTGATTCACAACGTGTTATCTGGAGTCACTTTACAGAGACAATTCTGTCAGACTGGTTAAGAAAACCAGCTGATTGCATCCAGTCATTGAATTGCAAGACATGCTCCTCTTGGAGACTGCAGCGACAACCTTCATTTGGATTTTGTTATTGACTCTTTAGAAAGCCCTCACACCAAGTATGCTTGTAGCGACAGTGAAGAGGAAAATTCGCTTTTAACAGGAAGTAACTTCCAGCAGAACTAGGATCAGTGTGAGTGCCCATCTGCCGAGGCCAACTGGGAGTCAAGGAGACAGAAGCAGATATACAAAAAAAAGGACATATACAAAAGATAACCGATAACTAGCTCCACAGGTGGCCCCGTCCAGTAAAGACACAGCCAGGCAGATGTCAACAGATCTATGGCTATGCTCCCCTTGCTCTATGAGTGGTCATTTTATACAGCAGTATTTTCTCTTGTGTTTCCTACTATTTTGCTTCAAAGTGCACAGATCTGTATTAAACCAGAGAGAAAGCTTTCATTTTTTTTTAAAGTTGTTCAAATTTAGATCACAGAGAGAGCCTAAACAGGACCACAGAAGGTAAGTCAGCAGTCAAAACAGGAAGTGAACGTGAATCATTGCACCAACAGCAGCAGTAGCACCACTAGATGAGCTAGAGGGAATCCAGATTTGGAGCTTGGGTAACAATTTAATGTTGGGATGATTCTGGATTTGATAGAAAACAGATCATATGTTGTTGCAGTTAAGAGGTTGCTCTCCCCCTCATTTACTTTTCTCTTTGCTGCCGCCAAAAAAAAAAAAAAAAAAATAAGATGGAGGGGAAATTGTCTGCTGAACATAACTGGACGATGCTTACTTATTTTGAAATGCTGTAGCACCTGTGGGCATTTCCAGTGTTTTTGGGGTTTTAGTTTCAGTTTTTTCATGAGCTGAGGGCGTGCAGCTTCTCATTTTGTTTTTTCTTCATGTTCCTGTTTAAACTTTATGTATTCCTGAGCTTTCTGATTAAAAACAGAACTACAAAGTTACACACATTACACATACCGCTTGTGTAATGTTACTAAACATTTGCAGAATGAAAAAGAAGAAGCAGAAACAAAAGCTCAGTGCTGATGCAAAATGCAGCTCACTGTAAACCTCTGAATGTTCCAAAGAAAAAGCAGCAGGCTGTGATACAATGTTTGAAATGGTCTGTTACTTACTGTCAACTCATATCTACATGTGATGTTTTATTTAGCCTTGAATGTTGATTACATGAATGGGTTTTACCAAGGTTCTGGTGATAAAAAAAATATACTTTTAGGTGTTATTTGTCCCCTTTACTGCTGGCAAATGTGTCTTACAGTGTCCCTGTAGGGAACCCTGCTCCATTTCTTCAAGTAATAACATGGAATCTCAATTTATCTGCACATACTACATTTCAAAGCTTAAAAAAAAGCTAAATTTCAGGTCCTAATACAGAACTGTGTGATGGATAAACCTGAGGCTTTATCACTTTAAGTCTTCCAGGTGACTTTTATGATTTAAGTGTAACTCCATTTCAGTCATTCAGTCGTTATTTTGTTCAACTACAACTGGAGACCTTTCCATCTTTGCAACTCACTCTGGAAGTGTTCTCTTGGGTTATCTCTTCAGCTCCACGGTGGGTGGAAAGCCAGAAGTCAAGAGAAGACAGGAAGACCACTCTGGCCGAGTATTGCCAGACACTCCTAAGCTTGTCGCCGCACATCTCGCGCTGCAAACATCTTTCCAACTTCTTCAGGGTCCGGCCCGAGGATGAAAACCCACCTGCACCAAACACGTCAGTATATTACACAGCGACATTGATTATGCTATTATATATTTTATCTTGGAAAAACCTGACAGCTGACAATTACTCCAACAGACTGAAAAGAAATGAGACTTTTGTGGAGTCTAGGGATCTCGCGAGAGGCAATGCTTCAGGTAGGTGTTGGTGTAACTGTTTTAACAGGAATTCTCTGAAAACTTTAATTATTTTTATTTTAACTTGTGTAACAATAAATAATTTATCTAAGCTGTTTTGAAAGGCTAAATCTACGTATTTTGCATGTAACCACATGACTGATTTCCTACCCATATTTTAGTGGTTACATAGTTTGATGATTTAAGCAATTTTGAAAAATGATGAAAAACCACCATGGAACTAGATGCGGTTTGGTCTCTTGAATCAGCCTTTTTTCCCCCAATAATTTGCTAAATTTTAAGGGGAATTGCTGTTTTTCACCTTGCAGAGATTTCTGGCCCTATCATCCTGGATACCTACAGAGTGATTGCTGACTTTGAAAAGACATCCAAACATGAGATCAATCTTCACACTGGAGATCTAGTAGAAATTGTGGAGAAAAATCAGAATGGTGAGAAAAGCATCAAATATTTGGACCAGCGTAACATGTAAAGTTGGAGGTCACAGGGCCTTTTGGACTGGACACTACTAACCTAAAAAAAATGAAATAAAATTAATTGTGTTTATAATTTTATATTTAAATATCTTAAAGGAATAGTACACCCAAAACATGATTAGCCTTCATTTTCTACTCACCCCCATGCTGAACAACACTCTGGAGTACTTTTTTGATATCTCAAATGCATCTGGAGATCTGGGAGGCTTCTTGCTGTCTGGTGACATTCAAATAATGGAGGTCCCCAGCACCCGAGGCAGAAAGGTCCATAAAAGTCCACAAAAAACGTGTCAATATTCCTCCATACTGCTCGTCCAATGTATTCCAAGTGTCCTGAGTGGGTAGCATCCAGAATTTACTCGAAACGAAGTCATTTAGAATGTTTTTAGAGCCTAAACAGTAGTGTATAGGATTTCCTAAAAGCGCGCGCCTGCGAGTTCACGAGCCTACAGAAACCGCGGCAGACCAAACCAGATGAAAGTGCGCATTCAGCGTCTGCTCTGCCGATTTGCAAGCGTAGAAGAAGAAATGTGCTGTTTACCTGTGCAAAGAAAGAAACAACGAAAGAAAAATGTCTGAGGACTTCAGTGTTGAGGAAGATCATGAGTTCTTTGCCGAGACGCTGAATGCGCACTTTCATCCAAGCAACATTTTAACAACAATTAGAAAATAATAATAAATAAACATCTCTAAATCAATGTGTGGTAACACATTTTATAGTGGTTGGCAGATTTTTATATAAATTTTAAGTAAATGTTGCCTCCAAGTTAGCTTAATTGTGTAATTGAGTTTTTTGTGGTTGTTTCAGGTTGGTGGTTCTGTCAGTGTGAATCCAAACGAGGATGGGTTCCTGCCTCCTACCTGGAACCTCTTGATGGACCAGAGGAGGCAGAGGAACCTGATCCGGACTATGAAGGCAGGGTTTGCACTGTTATTTAATGACATCAGTAACTGATAGACATTAATGTGTTTGTTAACTGAAAGAGTTGTGTGTCTCTGCAGGAGACCTGCACATCACCACCCAAGCATACCAGGCAGAGCAAGAAGATGAGATTTCCCTGGAGGTGGGAGAGACTGTGGAGGTCATTCACAAACTTCTGGATGGATGGTGGGTCGTAAGGTAAATTCTGAGCATATAACATGCAGGCTTATTTGCAATCCACTCAATTTGTCTGTATCACTAGGTCTATAGATTTTTTAAAGAGATTATTTAGTAGATCTTGCAGCTTTGTGTGTAGTTTTAGAACAGATTGGAGTATTTAGAGCAATAATTAAGAGGTAAGAATGGGCTTTCTCTCAGTTTTTTCTGAAAACCTTTCAACACCTATCCAGCCTTAGTCAAATCTGTTGGTTTTCACCAGAGCAATCTGTAGTTAAAGCACTGATCTATTTAAGCAGCATGGAGGTCCATCCTCCTAAAGATATTCAAAGTCAGATGCAAATTAAATGGCCACCCCTCGTTCTTCTGTCTGTTGTTGTGCATGGGCTATGTGATAAGCCTTTAAATCATTCTTTTAAAGCTGAAGCTGCAAGCCCCCCTGTGCAACCTCCCTGCAAACGTCTGTTCTCCACCTCCTCCGTATAAATCCTGGAAACAATGGGTGAAACACAGTTCTGGTTGGGTGTGAAAATAGGGCTGTCTTTCAGGGTTTGGTCATGTTGCAGTTGTGTCCTGATGGTGTTTGTTGCCTCTGATGTGGGAATGCAGGTGAAGAGAGAAGTTACACCAAAGGAAACAAGAGTTTCACATAGCACCAGTCTCAAATGCTGGACTTGTTTGTGGTTGCAATGACATACAGAGAAGTTACAAAGGCATGTTGCGCAACAATTTGGTGGCCACATGTTGGTGTTAGAGTATGAGCATAATTCCAGAAAATTTGCAGATTACAGAAACCGTCTCTAAATTCAGTTTGAGATGCAGGCAACAGAAAACTGTTTCCAAACAGCATATGCTTCAAGTCGACAAGCGGACCAGATTATTTTGAGACCTCAAAGCCAGCTCCTGAGAGAAAGAATCTGACAAGTCCGTTTTCACTCTTTATGCACTCTCAGGAGAAAAAATGTCCAGGACCAGCTTTGGGAGCAACTCCAAGAAGTGTTTCTGCAAGAGGTCATATGTTTCATTGAAATGGCAAAGCTCACACAACACTCTAAGATCAATGAAAGAAAAAAGCAGAAATTGCAGTCTCATCTAGTGAAAATGAGGAAAACCTCAGCTACCAACCAAGCGCACAGAGAAGATCATGGGGAAAACTCACACCAAGTCATCCAAATCCAGTGGGTAAAAAATCTCTCTAACAGAGAATTAACCCAGTTGGAACTGATTGTTCTGCTAAAGGGTCTCAATTTTGTGGTAACCCCTAAGCAACTTCCAGTGAAAGAGCTGACTACTACCACTGAATCAGCCATCAGAAATAACATCACAGCAGAGGCAGAAGTGGAAGAATTTAGGTTAGAAGTTATAGCAACCCCCTCTAGTGCAAGATTACCCACTTCCAACATGATCCAGCAGGGCAGCTTGGCAGTTATAGTCTGTTATTTTATTTTTGTAGACGTTTGTTGGGTCCCTCATAGGTGTTAATGTCTATTCGTAGCATTATTAGCATTTCTTTGTAGTAGTCAGTTACATTGAGCACCACCGCTCATCTACTTTTGTCTGCTGGCATTTTTTTGAAGTAATGGTCTTTATTAAGAGAGATAACCTTCAACCTGAGGGTATTGTTCCAAATTACGACGCAGAGGAGAAAACACAGAGAGGAAAAAATTCATATTTGTCGGCAGTTTCCGAGAAACTTAGAAGGATTTTATTTGTACCTTTCCAAAAATTATGTTTTTTACACATGCACAGTTTATCATACGTAAATGGTTCTTTTGTCATCTTCTACTTGTTTAATACTGTTTGATGAACAACCTTCAGGTGCATTACCGCCATCAACTGGTAGGAGGTGTATCTGCACAATACAGGGCTTAAGATTTATGCAAGTATATCGTTTATTTCCACTTGATTTGGAGAATTTTTGCTTTGTAACATGTAATGGTAATTTCTAAACTTGTATTCTCACAGGTGAAACAATTTATGTTACATGTATGTAAGAGCTGACAAAGAACAAATATAGATCTTAAATGTGTTATTGGCTTTAATTTATAAAGACACCTATGGATGCCTTTATAATGACAGTTATCTTACCCCATATATTCTTATTCTTGACTTGTATGCTGGAAGTGGTAAATTAGCTCCATTTTTTATATTAGCAAACTAGTAATGAATGAAATAATGAATATTGCAGATGCTGGTGAAGATTCTCAATTATCCAGGTCACGGTGATTCCAAAAAAGTAAAAACTTGGACTTTGTTTCCAAGTTTGAAGATGTTTCACTTCCCATCAAGGGAGCTTTTTCAATTTAAAATGTCATAAATAGTGTTGAGTTTTTAATTCAAAAAGCTCCCTGGATTTTTTTTTTTTCTTTTTTTGGAATATTGCAGAGCATTTTGAGGTAGAAAATGTCTGAGCTTTGTCTAATGAACTACAAATTGATAAAAAATTGCACACAAAACACTTTTCATAGGATTTAAATGTACACCATAGATCACTTAGGGTCATTTTAGGTATGCAACTGGATGTTTTAAAGAATTGATTGCTACAGTAATTGAATGATTGACTTCATTGATCTCACAGTAGAGAAATGTACTGTTACATCAGTGCAAATAGTCAAAGAAGAACAATGTGCCAAAGTAAGAAAAAGGGATATATACAGTTTATAAAGAGGGTTCACATTTAACAGCTTTTTTTATATACTACCTTTTCTTTATAGTAGGATCATTATAAAGGGTTATTGCACAAGGTGTTTACATGGGTATTTATATAGAAGGATATATATATATATATATATATATATATATATATATATATATATATATATATATATATATATATATATATATATATATATATATATATATATATATATATATATATATATATATATATATATATATATATATATATATATATATATATATTTATATAGTTATTGCACTGGTGTCAAACATAGAGAAACATCACATATCACATATCACTTTCAAACATGCCAGCAGTGATGTTTTTGTATGTTCAGAGTCTCATAAAAAATGTTTTAGTCTTCATAAATAGACATTTTAAAAGTTGTTCTTAATTTAGTGTACTTTTACTTCAATTTGTAATGCCAGGAAAGGAGAAGAGACCGGTCATTACCCATCCATGTTCCTACAGAAGTCTGATAAGAAGAATGAAATAAGCAGGATAAATCTGCGAGGACAGAAGCCTCCCCCACGCAGGTATGATGATAGATTGCGTTTAAAACCTGAGCTTGGTTTATGAGGAAAGAGTTATTTTTTTATTTTTAAAGTCCATTCTTTAAAAATAAATGATTTATACTGCAGCTCTTTCAAACAGGACGCTGTTAGTTTGTCCATAGTTCTGTTTTCAGTTTTGTGTTTTTTGTGTCACTTCTGATTAAATAAATTTCTTTTTCCAGGACTCTTCGAACATAGCTGTGCATTTTACTTCTGTTGACAAAAACTTTTCTTTATTTTCTAGAATGAATTATCATTAAATGATATTAATAAATCTACTCAAGTATTATAATTTATTCACTTGTGGTTACAGTCAGCATTCCCAACCTTCCACTGCTTCTTAAAGCACCTTCTGTCATCTCCATTCTTCCAAGGTCCACCATCAGAAATGCCAAAAGCATCCACGGCAAATCTCGGAAGAAGCTCAGCCAGGACGCCTATCGCAGGAATAGTCGACGTTACCTGCAGCAGAAAGGTGTCGCCGCTCCTCAAAGGAACTCTGCAAAGACACCACTGAGGGAGAGGAAGAATGAAGGTAATGAAAACATTCCTTCATATTTACAGTGGCTTCAATCTAAAGATGAACCCGTGATCTTTGTCCTCTGTTTTTATCAAACAGATAACATTCCTGAGGTTTCGGGATCCAGCTCAGAGAGCGAGGTGAAGAAGGAAGCTCCAGTCATCCCACCCCGACCCAGTGCTGAGCTCATCCTGGAGCGCTGTACAGACAACACCCGCAAAAAAATGAGCATTAAGATTAAGTCCCACTCTGAGACAATGTAGTTGGGAAACATTTTTAAAGGCAATCTTCCAGGGTACCTATTTCTTCACACTTAATAAACCCAATGACTGAAATGTCGTGTATCAGATTTTTTCACCCAAAAGTTATCTATTTAATTCTACACTCCATGATCTCATTCCTAAATTTAACTGGCCTGTATATATTTTTAGAATAACAGTTTAACTGGGCTTCCTCTCATCGGGACACAGAAACAAGTTAAATCTTTACAGGTTAATCTGATCGTTATTTATCTTTGTTTGCTTTTTATTAGAAAATATATTGGCCAATAAAAATGGTTCTTTGTCTTATCTTTGTCTTATTGTCTAGATTTTTTTAATTGCTCAATAAATGTATGAGGCAATGACATTTCTGAGTATTTTATCAAACTTCTTGTCACGGCTTGACTTCATTAAGGTACTGAAAAGAATAAATCAATAAACTAAACTACAGGGGATAAAACTTTGACCCCGACGTGATTTGAACACGCAACCTTCTGATCTGGAGTCAGACGCGCTACCGTTGCGCCACGAGGTCTCCGATGAGAAAACAAGACCATACAAAACATTATATGGGAAGACCTCTAGACATGTCACTGCTTTCCTGACCTCTGAGAAATCTAGATCAATATGAGTCATAATTACACAGAAAGCAGTGGTCAAAAAAAAAAAATTATAGACCCAAGCGACGATAGCTGTCAGATCCGGATTGCAGAATTTATACATAATTTTGTACACTGTTTGCTCACTAATCCCTGGTGGTCTAGTGGTTAGGATTCGGCGCTCTCACCGCCGCGGCCCGGGTTCGATTCCCGGTCAGGGAACATATTTTTGTCAAGTCCCGTTATCTGTAATTGCCGTTTTCACAACCAGTTTTTCAATATGGTCTCTTTGAGCAGAAATATTGAAAATCGCCAACAAGCTAATGGACCCTGAATCTTGGACTGTTTTTAATCCCAAAACATCCTACCGACAATCGATGTGTATCAAATGTTTCTCCGATTCCTTGTGCAAAAATAGCGCGCCCTATGATTTGCTGAAGGAACGACCAAGAAGCTAGTTAGATTTAGAAAGAACCGGATTTAAAGCGACAATGCATTCCTTCAAAATAAAGTAGATGATAGATAGATAGATAGATAGATAGATAGATAGATAGATAGATAGATAGATAGATAGATAGATAGATAGATAGATAGATAGATAGATAGATAGACACTAAAATGTGTGTGGGTGCAAGTTCAATTTGCATGATAGAACTGCAAGGCTGGAAATGAAAAAATTCGTATGAAGAGGGGGAAACATTTTCAACCTGTGAAATTTGATCATATAAGAATGACTGGATGACTGTGACTTTTCATTGTTATTTTATAAAGTAAGCAAACTATGCATGAGAAGTAGTTTTTAATATTCCCCCCTGTCTTTAAATCCACATTAACATGAATTCAACACACTGTGGTAAACAGATAAATGGAGGCAGAAGATGTCTTTCTGTCATCAATCCACACATTCAGTGACACACAGGAGTTCTTTCAAGCTGGGCACCGTTTCATTCACAACACATGTCCCATCAACAAAGGAATCAGAATTAGAAATACATTAATAATCCCAGGGAGAAAATTACTTTCGTTACATTACTCCATCTGTAATAGAGTGACTATAGAACAAGTTTGATATAACACAATTTCATACAATATATTTAATTAGGGGGTCCCCGCTCCATCTCGCCATCAGTTTGGGGGTCCTTGGCCTGGAAAACGTTGAAGACCCCTGCCCTAAATAAAGTGGTGCCCTAAAATCAATCAAAGGTTTTTCTTACTGCACCAGTGATAATATCTGCACAACAAGAAACAAGAAAATGTGATTATAACAGAGAGTCTTGACTTAAAATTAAGGCTTAAAATTAAGGCTAGGTGCTTGTAGGGGAGCCCAAACCCAAAATGTATCTAATTGAAAAATATAAATTTTTCCTGAAAGGCTTGAGAACCTGTAGTTTGAAACACTCCTCTTATCTGTAAAGATAACATGGAGGTCCAAACAAACATGGCAAAGCACAGAGGTTGATTGCTTATATTCTTGGTTTCAGCTAAATAAAAACAAACAACACAAAAAACAAAATAATAATAATAAATACTGTTAACTATTTTGTGCAGCTCCCAGAATGTGAAGGAAATGTTATTGGAGTAAAGGATGGGTTTCAATCCAACAACCCTGATTAACCTCTTGCATGCAACGCTTTTCTTTCTGTGTGTGTTGTTTTCTATATAAGTGGGTCATGCAATCGGCCTGATTGCAGTCCTGACCTATCTCTACAGCTCCACTCGTTGCGCAACATTGTTTTATTTTGAAAAACCCCCCGAAATGAAACGGGCTCCTTGAGCGGCCGCTTGTCATTCTGTCCTGCACCAGCAGGCGGTGCGGCGGTTCAGAAAGCTAGAAGAGAAAGGCTCCGAGGCTCCCGGCCTCGCTCTGTCACATGCAACCTCTGGACGACAGAGGACCAGGACAGGACGCCTAGATAGCGGCTCGGTAGACTGAACAGGAACATGGCGGCGGAGTAACAACAGCAACCCGCGCGCACCCATGGCGTCCATAGATCAAAAGGACCGCACGACATAACGGAGCAGCATCACTTAACGGAGGTCAGTGTAAATCCCTACAACCTCTGATAAATAGATTTATGAAATACACATTTCTGTGCACCATGCATTTGATTTTTTTTTTTTAATAATACAAAGGCTATCTTAACTATATAAATACTATATTTATGTTTTGTGGTAACGCTGTGTGATGAATGTTTACATGTATTTTTTTTCCATCATATATCATCAATGAATTAATTCTCTTCAAATGCACATTTTTGATTTGTCTGTGAGGAACAGCACAGACAAAAAATAAATAAATAAATAAAACGTTTCGTAATGAAAAGCTGACAAGATTACTTTTTTTTTTTGTTCTAAATGTAGGTCTCATATAAAAAAAAGATAATTAATTCTTATCAAAGCTGGGATGAATCATGATGAGTTTTCACAGTTGCTCTCTTCAATAAATAAATTAGAATATTCCTAAAGATGGTGAGCACCCCTATAGTTTTTAAACATTCCCCTTCATGCATTAGATTAACTGCATAAATTAACTGCATCATTAAAACTGATGACAGCTGGGTTTAGAATTGTGCTCTTTTTGATGAAACACTCCACAAAAAAGTAAACAGGGGACCTCAGACGCATCCTCACATCAACTTAAACCCTAGAACTGAAATATTTTAGAGTTAGCATGATTGTGAATTATCTTTTGCTGCTACCAAAAAACCTGATTCCAATTATTTGTATGCAGTTGCTTAGGGGCCCCGTCACTGACACCTGGTTGGCCCCCTACACAATTGTGGACTAGGACGTCTCTTTGCAGATGTAATGGTGCGAAAAATTCCTCTTAAACCCACCTGATACTAGGTTGACTGACCGGACCTTATTTATACCCTAACACATGTCAGATTTCTTTTTTTTTTTTTTTTTACAATGTCTTGTCTGGCAACGTGACAACAACAATGATAGTCTTGATGCCAAAAAGAGCCCAACAGAATTTACTTTCACAAGTGGAGCAGTAGGGCTATTGCCATAGTGTTCTGCTTGTTTCATGCATGGCAGATTTCAACACGATGGTGAGCAGTTTAAACACGACACCAATAGCAAAGCAGACAGTGGTACTTATAATTACTATGTTAAAAACTGTGTATAGTTCATTAGACGGTTGGTAAAAATACACTCATATAATATGTTTTAAACCGCAATAAAGATCTTAAAAGAACAATGTATGTGAGTATTTTATTTTTTACACTACGACTTGGAATTATGGGTAATCCAGAGTGTAGATTAAAACCATAACCGTTACATACAATGTGTTAGCGACGATGGATACCAAAAAGAGGTACTTAAGCAGATTCCAGAAAAGAAAAAGCAAAGAAGAGCTGCTGGAAGAACGGAAAAAACTTCCCAAAATAAACACGTTTCTTAAAAGAACCGATGTTGCTGCTACAGTGAGTGAAGGAGATGAATGGAGAGAGCGATAATCTAGCCCGATAAGACTGATTTTACAGCAGAATATTTACAGCAGTATATCCATGTCGTTACACCATTGAGCAGGACAACACATACAACTACATTATTGATAACCAAAAGATTATGCTTTATTTAATAACCTTCAACTAATAGGAATCTGAAAAGTGTTTTGCATTTCTATTCAGCCCACTTCCATACTTTTTAAAACTTCTTTATTTTTTTGGTAAGTGTCACAGCTCTACATGGGAAGACAGTTTTTTTTTGCTAAATAAAACAAGCTCAGTTAGTCTAAATACACCTTCAGTCTGACCACATCCTCTTAGTTAGAATGGATAGAAGTTTATGGATCTCACAACTGGAAATTCACCCGTGACATCTGCTCTTTTAAACAACAGAATTTGACCTTGGCATAGAAAGTAAATACAATGAAATTTCATGGAACCCTCCACTAGATAAAAACCAATAAAACAATCATCATCCAACATAAAACTAGGTAAAAAGAATTCTGACTTATCAGCTGCTTCTTAGATGAAAGAAGAGTCAACACTGTAAAGTTAAAGGCAATCCACTGTTTATGGTTCATATCTGTAAACGACAGATTCCCACTGGTCCTAGAAATAGTTTGTAGAGCTAAATTGTTAGGATAATTATCACTAATGATGTTTGATTTTATAACACCCTTATATCACTTATCTGATGCGTGTCAGAACTAATGTTTTCCCCAGTAGTTTAACTAATAGGGCTTGGTCGTCGTGACGTAAGCACTTTGCGTTGCCGCCATCTTGACGGCCTCTTTTACCGCGGCTCAGACTACTGCCTATGACTACCGCATACTGTACTCCTTCTCAGCCGTGTTTTAATTTGATTAATTTCACCTTAACTTGATTTCAACCATGGTGAACCGTTGCTGTATTGTGGGCTGTAACAGCTCAACACATGATCGCCATGGGAAAAACATAGAAAATGGATTAACTTTCCACCGCTTTCCTGCCTGGAGGCGTAACCATGGAGACCAAGCGTCAGAGATAAATAGCTTGGATCACGGCTGTAAGACAACTGAACATAACTTTCCACAGTATTCCAATGTCATTGAGAGTGTGTTCCCTGCATTTTCATTCTGGTAAGTTAAAGATGCACGGTTTTATTTTATAGCCTACTTTGTTTCTTTCCTTCAAAGTTGGGATCTTTTACGGGAAAATAATAAAAACGGCAGCGGGAAAAGGCTCAAATACGTGAGAAACCTGGAGGGTTGGCAGTTAACGTTACTAACTACACCTTTGAAACACATAGCAGCTAGTTAAAAGTACATTACATGCGTGAGTGGTTGTCAGCATTAGCGGTTAGCGGTTGCTAAACTAGCAGGTTCCAGAGCCCGTCTGATCACAGCTTACCTTCGTACGGTTTACTGTGTTCCCACTGTTTGCTGGCTTTATGATCTGCAGCTCCTGAACCCATCCATTCATGAACTGCATATGAGACTCCAAGGACTTGTAGCTTCAGATCTGTTTTGAAGTATAGGCGCTCACTCATCGGTGCTCCACTCATTGTTTGGAACTTCATATGGATCCAAATTATTAATAATGCTGATTTTGTCAACATACCGGTCCCTGGCTTCTCTATTTAACGTGTTCTGGTAAATTCCAGATCTTTTTCGGGATTTTAACATCTTTTTTTCTCTCTACTTCTACGTCTCTTCTTTCAACAACAACGTTGTATCAGAGCTATGTTTACGTTTGCATAGCCGTCAATATGACCACGACGTCCCACAATGCAACGTGGATCCCGAGCCCTATTAGGACAGTTCCTCTGTCTGTCATTCAGTCCGGGGCAAAGATTTGGGAATGGAATGAGAGCGGCGTCCTTCAGCTAAGAACAAAGTGTAATATTTTGAAATGGCTGAAGCCAAGGATGTTTCCACATCTGCAAACGTGTAATGATGTGATGATGTGGCAGACTGGAGTTGTATAAAATGATTCTCTAACGGTGAATCATGGCCGCTTCATGAGAAGTGAGCCCAGACAGTAAGTGCTGCCTTCTGTAACTCTAAGCAACTTCTCTGATCTGAGTAAGATTACAATTTCTATCAAAATCTGTTGTCATGTCTCCTGGTTATTTAATACATATTCATTATGAAGTGTTATTTAAAGAGATTGGCCAGAGTGATCTCTTTCAAGAAGAACTAGAGAGAGAGAGAAATCTTCAAGGTGTTAACACTAGAGATTTTCTTTAACAAAACCCTGAATGGGCCATTCAGGATATCCTTTCATCTACATTCAATTGAATTTCAGATAAATTTGTTTGAACCAGTTAATAAGAAAATAATAAACAACTCTTCCATTAAAGCTTATATGCTAGCTGCAAGTCTGCCTGCATCTAATCTTTTTAAGGTTTTAACTGTTTTTTTTTCTAGTATTGTTCTGTATAGACCTATGTAATGATTGTAAAAAAAAATAAAATAATAATATGGCTGTGCATGCAGTATGGCAAAGAGGTATGGTGGCAAGCAGATACACGTGAAGTTATGGCAGTGCATTATCTGGGAATTACTGAGTGGGTTTTTTTTTTGAAAGAGTGGCCTTAATAAATGGCACCGGCCTACAGATCAGTGTAGTTATTAAATGGGAATATGATATCTGCAAGTTGTCCAGCATTCTTAGCATTAAAAAAATACTTTATTAACCACAACACTCAGTACTCCAGCAGCCATTTCAGGTTGGTTTTATTTTCTACACAATGAAAATATATACAGGCAAGGATGTATCATTCAGGGAACCTGCCACCATTCATTGTGCAATTTTATCATGTTGGAAGATGAAACAAGAAAATCCCTATTTTCATTAGTCTCTCTTTAGGGCAGCCCCCTGGCAAGCTTTACACGTTTATTCATATAGCACCAATTTAAAACTTATGTCATCTCAAGGCACTTTACTGAGACCTTTCAGTCAGGATCACCTGGTGAGATTTGTTCAAAGTTTCTATTTAAGGAAAACCAGCTGATTGTATCAAATAATTGACTGCAGGACAGGCTCCACCAAACAAACATACAAGCACTGATCCATAAATAATTTCTATCTCAGAAAATGTGAGAATAAACTAGCTCCACAGGTGGCTCTTTTTAGGAAAGAAACAGTTGAGCAGATGAGCTCTGAGACAGTTTTCATATCAAAGTGATGAAACACGTTCAGTTAGCCATTACAAAAGCTGAGCCAATAGCTAAGCCCATAGCTACATCTTTCGAGAAAAACAGGACCAAAGAACTTTAAAAAGCAGGCCAGACTCCATCATCTAAGTGGAAGGTGATGGCTGCAGCTCAGGATCTCCTCAGGATGGTGTCACATCAAATTGGATCAGATCAGATGAAGCAACTATAACAAAAAAGCAAAGAGAACATAATGTTAGGAGTTGAATTAACAAATAATGCAGTATGGGAGAATAGAGATAGAATGAAGCAGAATGATTAAAAGTGGTTCCTATGTCTTCCGGGAATCTAAGCCTATAGCAGCATAGAGATAGCTCAGAATAACCTGAGCCACTCTAACTATAAGCTGTAGCCTTGTCTAAAATTAGAAAGGGTGTCATCTTCA